TTTTGGGTTTGCCAAAGATATTTTCTTGCATTATTTCTTAGATCCTCTATGTAATATTCTTATTTGTACTCTCTACTATCACCTGAACCAATCCTGTTTGTTCTTGGTACTTTAATAAATTTATTATTCTTTTTTCATGCATAAATGTGAAATAAATATCAGTATTGCATACTGAACTGCTGCTTGATGATCTTCACTGTCTCACCTTTTTGTTTGATCTTCATTTATAGAGTGCATGAAGGTCGGAGATCTTACCAATCTCAGGAGTTCTCGTCGAATCATTCCGAAGAGAAAATCCTATGTCTTGGTTCTAGCCGAAAGCAGCCTGTAATAAAATGGGAAAAGAACATGGCATGGCCAGGGAAGCTGACTTTGACTGACAAGGCACTTTACTTTGAGGTATTATGGTGAGCTAGTTGATTAATGAGTGTTCTGTATCTTTTCAAGGATTATTTGGTCAGAATTTTGAAAAGTCCTCTGAAAGGCAGTTCAGCCCAAATATATATATATCATCAACAAAGAACAATACTAAATAATATTAGTTAAAGAAAGGAAAAGATAATATGTCCTTTTTTTTTTTTCATTTTTCAGTGTTACTTTTTGTTTCTTTTAGTATGTTGTGTTCCACTTTGTTAGGCAGTTGGGTTGTTGGGAGAAAGAGATACTGTGAGGCTGGACCTTACTAGCAAAGAATCGAAAATAGAGAAAACAAGAGTTGGGCCTTTGGGATCGAATCTTTTCGACTCAGCTGTTTGTGTCACGTCTGGCCCAGAGTGAGTAAGCTCCCCCCATCTATATTTTCTCTTTGATCGCATTTTCCAATGTTTGTTCGTGAATTTTTTTATTTTTTTATTTTTCTCGTAATTCCTGTCCAGAAAAGAAATTAAAACCAAAGAGCATTTTTATCCTTCCGCGATTTTGTTGCTTCTTTTGGATGATCAGATAAATTAGTATCAGAATGCCAGACTCAATATTCAAATTTCCTCTCTTTCCTCGCCTTTCAAATTCATTTTTTAAAGAAAAATAAATGACAACACCACTTTATTTGCCTCTTGTGTTACTATTATCCGCTACTACGAGCATGTTTGTATACAAAAAATTTTCACTCAGAATTTCATCCAACTCAAAATTTAACTCAACTCCAATATTCTCAGTATTATCACTATAATTAAATAATTCTATCCAATCATTCTTACACATCACATCTACTTTAATTCACTATTCATCCACTCACATAATTTTAACTAACCATCACTTCATAATTTCTCCTACTTTTACATCGAATCAACTTTAATCTTTTATTTTAAATATTATTTTAATATAAATACAAAAATCCCACTAACAACATCTAACCATACCATCTTTTTCCAAATCTACTCTAGTTAACCAAAAAAAAGCCACTCTGAATGAAAAATTTTTGTATTCGTGATTTTTTCGATTACCAGTTCGGATGCATTAGTACTCGAATTCGTCGACCTCGGAGGCGAGATGAGGCGAGACGTATGGTTCGCGTTTATCCACGAAATCATCTCCCTTCACAGATTCATCTCCGAGTACGGGCCTAGGGACGGCGACCCATCGATACACGACGTGTACGGGGCCCACAAAGGCCGGGCCCGCGCTTCGGCCCACGCATCAAACTCCATAGCCCGGCTTCAGGCTCTCCAGTTCATGCGCCGCACGGCCTCGCTCGACGACCCCACGAAGCTCGTCCAGCTGTCGTACCTCCACAGCGCGCCCTATGGGGAAATTGTGCTCCAAACACTTGCTGTCAGCTTCTGGGGTGGGCCCGCCATTAGGAGCCTCTCTGGGGAGAAGGAGGCTGAGTCTCTCGAGTATAATATAAATAATGTGTATGATGTGGACGGGAGTGTGTATTTGAGGAAATGGATGAGGTCGGGTTCGTGGGGTTCGAGTGCCTCACTCGCGTTCTGGAGGAGTGGTTTGTCTGTGAGAAAGGGAGTTGTGCTCGGGAAGAATTTTGTCGTCGGGGAGATGAATTTGGTGGAGAGGGCAGCTGTGACGTGTCGGGATAGGTACAGAGTGGCTGAGAAGACTCGGGCCACGATTGATGCTGCTATGATTGAAGGGATCCCGAGCAACATTGACCTTTTCAAGGTTCATGTTATCTCGAGTAAATTGCAATTTTAGTCCTGTATGTTTCATTATCCTAACTTTTTCGTCCTCTTCTAATTGTTTTTTTGATTTTCGTCCCTTAAGTTTGTAGAAACGTTACAAAAAGGTCTTTTTTGTTGAGGTCCCTTATGTTTTGCGAAAAAGGTTGCAATTCCGTCCCTTATGTATGCTCGGGGACCTTTTTGTAACATTTTTGCAAACATCAGGGACGAAAAACCAAAATTAATTTGAAGGGGACGAAAAAGTTGCGGTAGTAAAACATACAGGACTAAAATTGTAATTTACTATATTATCTCTCACTTCTCCATATTTTTGGCTATGATTTATCGGTTTAAATTAAATACTTTGTTGCTCTACCGTTTTTTAGGAACTTGTACTTCCGTTGACTCTCACGGCCAGAAATTTTGAAAGGCTTCGGCGATGGGAGGATCCTCTCGTAACAACATCTTTTCTTGCACTTGTGTATACGCTCATCTTCCGGTATGACAGTTTTTTTTTTTTTCAGAGTAAATTGAAATTTTAGTCCAGAATGTTTTACTACCGTAACTTTTTCATCCCCTTCGAATTAATTTTGGTTTTTCGTCCCTGATGTTTACAAAAATGTTACAAAAAGGTCCCCGAGCATACATAAGGGACGAAATTGCTAACTTTTTTGCAAAACGTAAGGTACCTTTTTGTTGCGAAAATGACCTTTTTGTAACCTTTCTACAAACATATAGGACAAAAATTAAAAAAAAACAATTCGAAGAGGACGAAAAAGTTAGGATAGTGAAACATTCAGGACTAAAATTGTAATTTACTCTTTTTTTTTTAAATTAAAAAAAAAAATATTTTTTTGCAGCTCATTATTTTCTTCAGACATCTTGGAAAATGATGTAAAACTTAGTTATAGTGGTTAAAGTACACGTATCCCAGCTAAAGTGTTGTAACAAAGTCTTGATTGTTTGTTACTGTTTTATCAGAAACTTGGTATCGTTTGCATTCCCAGTGAGCTTGATGATGTTGGCTGCCGGCATGTTATTGCTGAAAGGTCTGAAAGGACAAGGGAGGCTCGGGAGGTTTTTCGGAAAAGTCGCGATATACGATCAACCTCCATCCAACACCATCCAGAAAATCATTGCCCTGAAAGAGGCCATGCGTGAAGTCGAAAAGTACCTCCAGAATGTGAATGTTGTCCTTCTCAAGATACGCTCAGTCATACTTTCCGGCCACCCTCAGGTGTGTGTTTTGTGTTTTTTTAAAAAAAAAATCCCACTTTGTTATGATCTTTAATATTTTTTTTATTTTTTCAGGTTACTACGGAAGTTGCTCTGGCTCTACTATTTGGTTCAACCGTTCTGCTTGTGATCCCGTTCAAATACGTTATGGCCTTTGTTATATTTGATCTCTTCACGAGAGAGCTGGAGTTCAGAAGAGAAATGGTGGTGGCATTCATGAAGTTTGTGAAAGAGAGATGGGATGTGGTGCCTGCAGCCCCTGTTGTGGTGCTGCCCTTCGAGGACAGTCACGAGCGCAAGGCACAAGTCGATGACGATGAAGGCAAGACAGATAGGGCTATTCAAGAACAATAGTTTTATTGTGGAGTTTGGAATTTGTAGAAGGTTACAGTCGATCAGATTTCTTTCCGTCTCGGACAAGATTCTCTACCGAGAAATGAGAAAAAAGATGAAGAAAATAAAATTAGAGGGAATATTTGTGAGTGGTTTGTTGGTTGATGTAAATCTAGGCGTGGCCAATACCCGGGCCGGTTTACGGCCCGGCCCGGTAGGTCGCCGGGCCTCAAAACATGGGCCCTGAATCGCTGGTTCAGCGACCCGCCGATTTTTGCCCGGTTTCTGGTAGGTTTCGGTTTTTTAAATATTATTATTATTATTTTTATTATTATTATTGGTTAAGTAACTTTACTTGAAAAAAAATAATACAAAAGTACCTAACGTTTTAACGTTAAAACGGAGCGAAAATCGAAACGACGGTGAAATGAGACAATTCTCTCAAATATTAGGGACATGCTTTTCAAGCTCATGATTTCTTTTCGAAATGGTGAAACAATTGTTATATTTGTTTCATTTGACAACCGTTCGTTTTCAATTATGAACAACTCCTGCAACTAGGGGTGAGACGTAAACGAGTAGTGTAGTCTAAACAAATATCTTACCATGTTAAATTCATGTTCCCTTAACTCTATCCACTTAATCGTTGGAGTTGTCTTACATGCTAATAGGCATTTAGGCACTTAATTCTTTGAACCCGGGACTGTTGACTACCCTTTCCCCGGTTGAACTTGAATGGGGAAAGGACGGTTAACAATCTCAGCTACAAAGAATTAGGTTCCTAAATGCTTATTATCATGTCAAAGAACTATAAACTAATTGTAAATTTTATCAAAATAATACAAATACAAATATTCTTTTGTGTTGTTAAAACACTGATATAAATGACCAACTTACATCAGACATAAACCATACAATTATTTTCAGTTTATTATAGGTTTATAATCTTTTTTTTTTTTTTAAATCTACATGCAATTTATGTGCAACTTATTATACGTTTTTCAATCAATACGAGAATACAAAACTGTGATTTTATATATATTTTATATAAACCAATACTCTTATACAAATAAAAATTCTTTAACAAAAATACTCAACAACTAAAATATAAAACACGACAGAGACTGCAAATAACGAAACAAAAACCATTAATATACATAAAACCATAAGAAATATCTAAATAAACATACACAACAATGAACCAAAAAATAACAAATTGCTCTTTTGTTGTCTCATATCAATTTCCTAATCCCCGTCTCTTATTGTCAAAAAATGGAACCTTCTTCTTAAGTCGCCCCTAATAACTTTTTGTGGAATATCATTGGGTTCGGACTTAAAAGTCGTGGGTGGTGTCCGGGTTGTAGCTAACCGTTCTATGACGACCCTTAGCGCGCCGCTTTTTAGATCCAATGGACTTTCTCTTCTTCCATAATTGATTTATTATTATTATTATTATTTGCACAAGCTTTCGATTACCCTTATGGAGGTGGAAGAAGAGCACATCTCCAAATGAAATGCCCCAAAAGATGCAACAATACACCACAGTCGCTGCAATAAAAAAAAAAAATGAAATGAAAAACATATGTTGTCAGATTCTGCATACCATACATACACTTAAAATAAACATTACATAAACAACCATACACCATAAGAGAAATGATAACAATACACCTTGTTTTTCATCTCATGATTATATTATGCAATAAATGTTTTAGTAACACTATTACATATTTTCAACATATTCTTTTGTTTTGAAAATCAAATCTCCACCTTGCTTTTTTTTTTTCCCCACAAAAATGCATTCTTCACTGATTATTGTTGTCACCCATCGGCCTCCATTTACCTGACTTACCAAGATGTCGTGCATCTGATTGGCGACCGCATGGCGGGGAACTCCTTTCGTGGAAATATGAGGCTTCCAAGACACCGTAGGTGAAGGCCTTAGACTCGTCGCCGTTACACGAGCCACATATTTGAGGTGTCGTCTCTGGTCAGCCACCACTCCGAGGTTTGTGGGTCGTGCACCGCACCACAATAGATGAGCATAGTCTGCCGATCCGCACCGCTGCCAGTTGCCGCCGCTCATAAGCTCGCCGCCGCTGTAGACGAGCATCGTCTTCTCACGTTGTAGGTGAAGGCCATGGACCATATCATTCACCGCAGATGGGGCTGCTTCCAACATTGGGTGGGGGATCAACTTTAACGTCTGTGCTATATTTGTTTCTCGTTGAAGATGAAATGAATATAAGAAATAAGATTCGAATTTTGATAATGACGTCAAGGATAAAGAAGAAGAAGAAGAACAAGAATGAAGAAGAAGATTGGAGATGGCGTGCACGTTTCCTGACAAGGATAAGATAAAGTTAAGGTAAAAAATTAATGGAAGTTACAAAAGTAAATCTCATTAAATAAAAGGGTTACCAATTGTAAGCACTTACCTTAAATAAATATTAATTACATATAAATATGACTAAACTTGAATTAGGATAGATATGCAAATAAATAGGTTAGATTTAGTAATTTTTCTAATAAAAATATGAGGTGTAAATATGCAATAAAAAGAATATTTAGTAGTGTGGTAGATAATTTTCTCTAAAAAGAAAAAGAAAAGGCTCTTATATATTTAAAAAAAAAAAAAATATTTGGGCTAAATAAGCTGTCAAGTGTCAAGCCCAAATTTGATATAATACAAAATCCAAATAATACCCTAGCCCAAATTCCAGATTCGGACCACGCTGAGAATTGAGATGGAGATACATCTGCACCATTCATTGTAGTTAGCGATTAGGATTGTGTAGGGCCCACTGAGCTCTGGTAAATTGCAATCCACCTATTCTGCGCTATATACATCTCGCTCGATCCATAAAACCTCTTTTTAACCTCTCCGTTATCCTCCCAAATCTGTTCGCTCCTTAGCCAAGCAAGGGATCTGCTGCAGCTATGTCTGAGGTAGTGTTGCGATATCTTCATCGAATTTGATTATGTTTTCGTGAAATTTCAATGGGAGGCAGTTGATAGCTCAATTTCGAACTTTTTGACTTCTTTTTT